TTTCCCCTCCCCTTGCCGGAATTCACGGTCCTTGCAAGCCCCAGAGCACGTGGGTCTGGAGGTGGTTTGGGTGCTTGTGCGGCTGGTGCTAAAACTTTGGGTTTCCCCAGAGTCTCTTTTCCTGGGACGAGACTACAGAAGGATTCCCCCTCCCCGCCCTTGGAGAGCCTGCTCTTAAACACCGAGAACCCTGCCCTTTTTCTTGGAAAGAAAGAGATGGCTTCGCTGTCTCAAGAGACCCTCAGGTCTGAGTCTCAGGAGCAGGGCGGCCGGAAGGAGTCCCAGGTCCCGGCTCTGTAAGGTGTCCCCACTGTGCTCCCAGGCTGGAAGATCAGCCCCAGAGACGTACCTCCTGCCTCCACGGGCTATATTCTGCTGCTTCCATCCGGCCCCCGCAGACTTACTTCTTAAAATCTTGGCTTTCTGTAGCTCATGATACGTGTGTCCCTCTCGCCAGCAGCCTCTGCCTTTCCCCTGCTGGTTTTCCGAAGCCCTCGTCCGGTTGCCGGCTCTCCTCCCCGCCTGTATTTTTTTTTCTTATTCTGTGCTTTCAAGTTGGACTCTCGTTCCAGAAACCCCAGAAGTAAGCCGACTTCTCACTTACCTGTGTAGCTGGCGTGTGTCAGTGATGCCAGCCCTGGCCAGAAACTGCCTGGCCACGAGAGAAAGTGTTTTTTTTTTCACTCCTTGGTCTATTTGTTTGCTTAAAGAACCTTTTCCAGGCCGTGAAGAATAAATAAGTTCACTGTGCTTTGTTTTGGGGTCTTCGGGGATCCAGCGCTGTGATGCATGTGTGAGTCTTTTTGCATCAGAATGTCTTTATGGGGAATAAAGCCACGTATAAAGCCACCACTTTCCTTCCGTGGGCTGGCCTTCTGTTGGGCCTGGGCTGAATGACAAGGAGGTTGGTTTTATAAACCTGAGCCTTTCTTTTCTTTTCTTTTCTTTTTCTTTTTTTAATCAACTGATAGTTTATTTTTTTATTTAAAAAAAATTTTTTTTTGGTGGGGGAGGTAATTAGGTTTATTTATTTACTTTTTAAGTAGCGGCACTGGGGATTGAACCCAGGACCTCGTGGATGCTCACCATGTGCTCTCCCACTGAGCTACACCCGCCCCCTAACCCGAGCCTTTCTAAGCAGAGAACACGGACTGGGGTGTATGTAGCATGCGGGTACCTGGGGGTTTTCCATCCTTTCCTGTGTCCTCCCCCCACTCCCCACCCTTCCACTTAAGAAGACACAGTACCCCAGAGACAGCCAGACCCCACGGTCAACATCCTGTCCTATTTTTCTTACTGCATATTATTGTTTGCCTGTGTTCCCAGTGGGGGAGGGGAGGCGGGTTCAAACATTTAATCTTTCTCCACAAACATTTTTGAGTTTAAATAAATGGGCCAGATTTCAGTCGTGATAACCCGCCACTTCCAGAGGGTTCCCCACCGGATGTTAAGTGGGACGGCTTGATAAGTGACTCGGATTTGGTGTCGTCCAGGATTTCTCGTAAAGACACTGACCGTTACGGCCGTCTCTTATCTGGGCCTGCCCAGCACCTGCTTCCTCAAGATCCTCTGTGTGCGCGTGTGTTTTGTGCTTAGATCTTGCTGTTAAACTCGTCTTTCTCTGCTTCCTCAAAACACTGTGTCTCATGCTCACATCTTGCTGTAAGGTCATCATTTTGAGCTGTTTTTTTCCTCCTCTTCTGCAGCGCGGCCTCATGTTAACTTTTCATAGCAGCCCCAAGAAGGGAAGGGAAAACCAGCTCAGGGAATGATAGATTCGAGGGTGTGTTTTTATTTTTATTCATTTTTTTTCATTGAAGTCTAGTCAGTTTACAAGATTGTGTCCATTTCTGGTGCACAGCACCGTCTTGCGGTCACGAGTACACATAACATGTATTCCTTTTCAGATTATTTTTCATTATAGGTCACTATACTGAGTATAGTTCCCTGTGCTACCCACTGTAAACTTGTTGTTTATCTATTTTATTTACAGTAGTTTGTACCTGCAAATCTCGAACTCCCAATTTACCCCTTCCCATCTCCCTCTGGTCAGTTTGTTTTTAGTCTGTGGCTCTGTTT